GTTGCTCCTCTATGATGCTGACCTCCAATAAATGAAACTTAAAAACCAACACATCATTAACCCTTTCTTTACATGGAGAAGAGACTCCACTCCTCAGCTGAGTTGCCCAGATAGTCCATTATCACAGAAACACTAGCAACTAGCTATCCATGCTTGTTTCAAAGGAAATAGTTGTAATTAAACTTTTGCACATTATTCTTTGAGACTAACCAGAATAGATGGTTGTTAAAGCAAACTGCTTAAGGAAGAGCAGAGCATTTACACACAGCTTGTGTCCCACCACACCAACTACAGGCTGTCAGATATATTGTGGCCTAACCAAGGGAAACTGGTACATTATTTTGCAGTACCAGGAGATTTATTGAATTCCTACCCTGGAGTATCAGATATGGTTGGGAGACTGTGTACAGCACAATGAGTCACATATTATGTGTGTCTAGTTTTAAACTAACTGTTTGTCCTCCCCTAGACCCCAGGAAAGGAGATTGTGTAGAAACTACAATGCTAAGAAATCAATGTTAGCATCCAGCACTGGTTTGCAAAATGAGTGCATCTGGCTCAGTGGCTGGACTGGAAAGTCTGATCATTCAGCAGCATCAGAGGAATGGAAGCGCCCATAACCTTGCTACAAATCAGCAGTAGTATCCTGGCTGTAGAATGCTTTTCCCAGAGAAGCTCACTTAGCACTCATAACTTTTTCACTGCCGGTGAAACCTTCTATCCCTCTACCCCTTATCTTTTATTCAGAGCTTGGGAAAACTAACGTTTCTTGCTTGTTGTTAACTGCCTTTTTGTCATCCTCAACTCATGGCAACCCTGGAATATAATTCTAAAAATTCCCCCAGCCAGCAACACTACTGGGATTCCAGGGAAAGTAGACCAACAAAGTAGCATTTACAAATTTTGCTTTTAGTACTTTTTCAAAGCATCCTTGCACTGTTCTTTGCTATTGTTGGCTTTAGTTGCCCCCTCCCACAAACTGTTTTTATGGTGTCTGAAAACATTATTTTTGTGTTTTAATGATGTTCATGTTTACTTGTTTGTTTAACTATAAACTGCTCCGAGAAAACCCTGATTATTGGGTAGTATATAAATGATCTATATACAAATCAATTTAAAAAATCTAAATGGAGGGTCATGATTCAGCACAGCCATAAACATAGAAGTAGGAAGCATTGTGATCGCAGTGACCATCCTCTCTATTCTGTTCCAGCCAGGGAGCCATAGAGAGCAATAAAACTTTAATGGCTCCCAGCGGGTCGATTGGGAAAGGATGAAGATGCTATAAATCCAGCACAGTGCTTATGTGGAGCTTAAAAACAAACTGTTCCAATCATAGTTAGCAAACCCATTGGGCCCATTCACAAGACAAGGGTAGGAAGGGTGTCTAAGAGTGGACAGAAAGAAAGTGAAAGGCATGCTAAAGAAACATTTGAACTTCACATAATCACTGAAGGTAGAACAAGGTGGGTAAGCAATTAGGTGTGTGGTGGGTTACTGGCAAAACATCATCTTAGGACATGGTGCAAATAAATGCACAATCAATAAGAACCACCATTAAAAGAAGCAAGAAAATACAATATAGAAGGTTACAACTAAGGAATAAAAGGACAAGGTTGAAAAGTCCCATGAGGTGTTCATAAAAATTGGACTTGGTTTAACATTCTTCTTGCAAACCATTCCAATGAATATTTAGGCAGAAGTCCTAGTATCTGCCTCAATCTCTTTCTCATTTACACAGAGAGTAAAGTTTAGAAGTTACATTAGCAACGTGCCACCCTCAAATTGTGTGGGCCAATGCAGAATGGGGTGGGAAGCCACACACTCATAGCTGGATAAAGGTCTAAATTCAGTATGCAAAAGCAACAGCAACAAAACCCAAGATTCTGCACTTATGATATATTATGCAAACCTGGCAAACTTTTTTTAAAAAATTTCAAAAAGTGCTTAAATTCTGGCTTACGTTTAGAGATTACTAAATTTCTATGGATTTGAACAAACCTGATAATGTTTGTCTTTAGCAAATATTACTTCCAATGAGCCAAAATAATACAGTCGGCTCTCCATATCCACAAATTCTGCATCCACAGATTTCATCATCCATGGCCTGAAAATACCCCCTCCCCCCCAAAAAAAAATCCCTCAAAGGAAACATTGATTTTGCCTTTTTATATAAGGGACATCATTTTACTATGCCATTGTATATAATGTGACTTGAGCATCCACCATTTTGGTACCCATGTGGGCGTTCTTATATCAGCACCCAGCTCCTCAGTGTAAGCAGACATCTACTTACAGAACTAATAAGATGACTAGAACAATGATTCTTGTAATCTAATTCTGTTTCCTCCATAGCCCTGTGGGCTACTAGAGGAAAGGGGCTACCTTTGCACATCCCAGAAATGGAGGAAGATATAGAGTTCCATGACTTTTGCATCATGACACAGCCGACATTAGGAACAAAGACTGCAGGGAATATAGAACATCAGCCTGTCCTGGATTTGGCTTCTTTTGTTGTCTTGTGATCTATACCCCTTCACTGTGGGTCAGTGCAAGCTTCAAATGGTTGCATTTGGACAAAAGTTTAGGATTTTTTGCCCAGTTCAGATTGGCAAAAGTAGAAAAATGTCTCTGGGAATTTTTTGCCTACCCTGTGGCGATGGCTCACAGGGCTTCATAGGAAAGATCATCAGTGGCTAGGTTGTTTAATAGGCCACACAAATACAAAGAGGTACAGAAAAGAGGGAAGGGATTAGGGAATAGAAGGCACCTTAGGTGAAGGATTGGTGGAAAGACTGGTTGCTGGAAGATTTCAACTTTCTCTCTCCCACTTTGCTATTTAGAGCAAGTGGTATTTTTTGATAGCTAGAAGTTCCTGCATGTAAAACCTTCCATTTGCTCAGTACTATGATTGAATGGCATGGTAATAAATGCTTTTGTAAACTGGCAAACAAACCATGTGATTCAGGTCACTTTCTTTCTCACACACAGTTACTCACACAGAAAGATATTGTTTTTCTCTGTCTGTCTCTTCCCACATCTTCCTCTGGAAGAGAGTAAATATATCTTCTTTTTCCTAAAGTATTCATTAGCCAGTTTTAGCATGTAGCCTCCCAGTGCATATGCAGATTCAGTCATTAGTAAACCTTTGTTAAACTTCAAGCTACTTATCTTGTTCTTTTTGGATCAGTCTCAGTTTAAGAGAAGCATGGTCAGACAAAGACACATTTCTGTTGCTCTGAAGATTTATAGCTAGACTCTAACAGGCTTAGCTTTGATATTTTTTATATTTAAATATTTTGTTTCCTAAACAAAGGCTGAAGCCTTAGGAAACTTGAATTGCCCAATACTGGTCCCTAGAGGCTCTGTATACCAAGAGGTGAATGGATCTTTGAGCTCAGCTCTGTTCACAGCTTCCTAATGCTCAGAGTTTGGAGGTGTGTATATGTCTGTGTGTGTTGGATTTCTCTTTGGAATGATAAGTTGACATGCTATGAGGAATATAGCACAGCAACAGAGCCTTGGTGGCTTGCCTTTATTGCAATGGTTTGGTTGTGAAGACCTTGGTTTCAACCATTTTCTATCCTTACTTTACCCCATCACCTGTCAGGAAATATGCAGGGGTAGCTGTTTTGGCCATTTAGCAAATTCAAACAAAACCCCATCAAACAGTGAT